TAAGTTCTAACAAATGTTGATATGATGTCTCTGCCTGGGTGATTATGTTTCCAAAATTTAAAGCCATATTAGCATATTGTAGTTATTTATGAAATAAATGCATTACATTTAATTGCTAATGTTTAGTTCAAATTGGTAATAGGTGCCATCATATTATTGTAAAAATCATTTCTGCAGTAAAGATAGTGGATTATAACATACTCTATTTTATCAATTACTTTATTTATCATAAGAATGAATTACTAATCATTTAGTACCTATTGTTTGTAGATACTACCAAGCATATTGTGTATACTAATTGTTTCAAAAACATAATGAAATTGGTGCTACTATGATTTGCAAGAGATAAAGATCAGGAACCAGATCATTTCTGTTTCATAATGCATTGATATTTGTAATTAATTTTTTGTCTTGTTTACTTTGTTGTTATCTGCTGCCACACTAGATTTCAAAAAAGTAACTTACAAATAGTGGAAGTTTATATTTGTTATTCACTCTAACATCTTCCATACCTAGCTGGCAAACACACCTTAAATTAATCCCGGACGACTCATATTATTCTATAATCACTTTACCTAAGTTTTCTTAATTATCACCAGAACCTAAGACTTGTTTCTAATCAATAGAAGAGGCAAAGATAATAGGATGTCATCTCCATGATTCTGCTACATTATGTAAGACTCTGTACTAGTGGACTACAGTGAGAGCTCCTCTTTCTGGTCTGGAAGAAGAAAACAGCCATGTTGCTGCCTGCTTGTGGAGAAAGCCATAATGCACGGAAATGTGAGTCACCTCTAGGCTGTAAGGGTGCTCTACAGCCACCAGCGTGTAAAATGCTGGGCTCTCAACCTTACAGCTGCAAGGAAACAAATTTGGCCAACTCCCTGTATGAGTTTAGATGTGAATTATTCCCTTATTGAGTGTCTAGATGAGAAGGTAGTCCAGCTGACATCTTCATTCCAACCGTGTGAGACCCTGAGAAGAGAACCTGCTTCATAGAAGGGCTAAGGTAATGCATTTGTGTTCTTTAAGGCTGCTAGGTTTGTGGTAATTTGTTGTGCAGTGTGATGGTTAATGTTGAGAGTCAACTTGATTGGAACGAAGGATGCAATTGTTCTTGGGTGTGTCTGTGAGGGTGTTGTCAAAGGATATTAACATTTGAGTCAGTGGACTGGGAAAGGCAGACCCACCCTCAAGCTGGGTGGGCACAATTTAATTAGCTGCCAGTGTGGCTAGGATAAAAGCAGGCAGAGGCACATGGAAAGATAAGATTGGCTGAGTCTTCTGACCTCCACCTTGCTCTATGGCTGGATACTTGCTACCCTCAAACATTAGACTCCAAGTTCTTCGCCTTTGGAACTTTTGAACCTTCAAACACAGACTGAAGCCTGCACTGTTGGCTTCCCTACTTTTGAGATTTGGGGACTCTGACTGGTTTCCTTGTTTCTCAGCATGAAGAAGGCCATGTGGGACCTCACATTATGATCCTGTGAGTCAATACAACTTAATAAACTCTCCTTTATATATACATCTATCTTATTAGTTCTGTCCCTCTAGAGAACTCTAATTAATACATGCAGCAATAGAAAATTTGTGCTAAGTTGCCCTTTGGAGGTAATTGACCAATGTTTATGAAATATTCTGTGCATTACCTCCAAATCTACTTAGATTGAAAGGCTATGAATTGGTGTCCATTGTTTGTTATTAATATATTTTTATATAAAGTGTTCTTGTGTTATTATTTAAAAACTGAATATAAGGGAAATAATCTAACCCTTTTCTGATAACATTTGCCACCAAATCAACATTTTGAGTGATACTATATCCTTGCCAATAATTTAAAATAAAGTGACATTTGGTGATATCGTATTTTGTCAAGTAATTAAAAACAAGTGACAAAATGGATTTTAAGAAACTCTAAATGTCTGTTATTCCTATGTATTGAAGTTGTTTATGGGTACACGATACAGTGGCTTTTCCAAAGGAAATCTGTCTTGCAGTGTCTGTGTGAATTGGCTAAGTTTTGTTTTGAATAAAAGGCAGTATCTCTAGAGCCATGAAATAATACTTGTTTCTTAATCAATAAATTTATCCTTATTTACAAATGAAGATTTTAAAAACTGAGGCCACGTAAGTTAATATAATAAACAGCTATTTGGTTAGTGTGTTTTCAATTTTCAATCTTCCAAAATTTTGTGGATGTAGAATAAATGGTCAGTTAAAAAGTAAGTTAATCAAAACATTTAAAAATAATTTTCAGAAAAAGTGTTCAAACCATATTAAAATCAGTAAACTGACTATTTCTAGTCAGTAAAGTAAGCCTTTCTCTCTCACACATTAACTGTTCTTAGATTGGAATACTAAAAATGAAAAGCAGATTGCAAACCTGACATTTAGAACTTAGCTCGACTACAACAAAGATGTACAAAGTGAAATAGAAAATGAAAATGAGTGAAGGGTAGTTTTTATTGATCTCAGAGAGTGTATTGTATTGGCTGTTTTAGCTTTGAAATCTCTTCTCAAAATTGATTGCATTACTCTTGTTGTGGTCAAATAGACAAGCTGGCCAAAGACTAAAAAAAATTATTTTCTCTTATGTGTATAAGATTCAATCTCAATAAAAAGAAACCACAAAAGGAAGTTTGAATATGAAAATAGAAAAAAATCTGCATATGTGTAAACTTAATTTCAAAAAAGCTTAAGAATGCACACATAAAAAAATCTGCTGTTACGATGAAGACATTGTTGTCATTAATAAGAAAATAAGGCTACTTTTTTCTATTTATGATGTTCATGTGGAAAGCTGTATATACACATATATATATATATAAAAACACACACATTTGTATATATGAAATATCATATTGCATTGAGATCATGAGGGAAAACAGAATATTGAATATAACATTTATATTGTCAAACTTTTCAGACACTACTTCAAAAATGTTTGCTTCATGAACTTTCATGACTACCATCCTGTTCTATGACTTTCTTAATTCTCTGTCAAATTTTTGTGGCTGTCTCTTTTTCTTCAAATACAATCCTGAGTGTATACTCTAATATGTGAAAGTGGTAAAAATGATACTGCTTTAGTAGAAACATTAGTGTTTAAATGAAGTGACTGGCAGTTGCCTTCTTTCCAAAGTGACCCCTGGACTTTGAAAACTGTGTAAAGTTTATTTTGTAAACAATTATTTTTCAGCATTCAGCTTATCCCTAACATTTGTAAATAAATTGCCTTTTCTTTGCATTAGCTGTCTCCTCAATTTGATTATAAATCTCTATAAACAAGAACCAAGTCTTCATGTGCAATTATCACAGCATCTGTAATCTGGATGAAACATTTCTCTAGAGGCTTGAGAATACTTTCATAGTAACTAGACATCTCAAACTTCAGGAGGAAACATACACAGAGAATAAAACAGCATTTCCCTAAGTGCAAATCGGCACCATCAATGTAATTAAACATATTCACGCTCTTCTTCAGCTCTCTATCTTCTTCCTCCCCATGATCCACAATCACCACTCATGTCATGTACATTGCAGAAGAAATATTTTAGTGCACGATTTATCTTTCTTATTTGTGAATGGTTTACTTATGCACTTGAGTGAGCCCTGGATTACCAAGATTAAATATCACTGCTGGCTATGTTTGTGAAGAGGTTTCCAGATGAAATTAGTAATTTAATCAGTGGACTCAATAAAAGGACTCAGCCTTTCCCAATGTGGTTCGCCATTACCCAATTCTTTCAGGGTGTGAATAGAGTAAAAAGTCACAGGAAGAAGGAATGTGTCCATTTTTGCTTCCTTCCTGCCTGCTTATTTGAGCAAACACATCAATATTTTGTTACCTTTGCAATGGGTTTATGCTATCACTTCCTCCGGTTTTCAGGCATTTGGCTTCAGACTGAAATTATAACACCTGGTTTCCTGGGCCTCTAGCCTGTAGATGGCAGTTTTTGGGAATTCTCAACTCCATATTCAAGTGAACTAAAGCCTCATACTAAATACTAAATTCATCTCTCTCTCTCTGTCTCTGTCTCTGTCTCTGTCTCTGTCTGTCTCTCTCTCTCTCTCTCTCTCTCTCTCTCTCTCTCTCTCTCTTTCTCTTTTTGGGGAGCAAAGAAGATGGCCAACTAAATGCAGCTGAAAAGCACCTCTCCCACCAAGAGAAACCAAATACCAACTAAGCTATTATACTTCAAACAGATCTTTTGAGCAAAAATAGAGTTAATATAGAGGCAATGCAGACGCTCTCCCAAACATGCTCTGACTATGCTCAGCTCAGGCAGTTTCCTGAGGAGTTGCGGGTTCCCTACTGATTTAACCATCAGCTTGGGAGAGAGCAGTCCAGCAAGGCCTGCCTTAGAGCTAAGTAAACAGAGGCATGACACCAGTGATTGGAGGGTCTTCCCTCAAGGCCCAGGAATGGACCTGGTGAGGGGATTATCTCTCACCCCACCATTTCCTCAGGACACTGCTGAATGTACTAGGAAATAACAAGAGACATGATGCCGATTACAAACCTATTTGGCAGCCGTTAATCTTAAGCACTATTTGCTGTATCATAGCCTGAATTAAATAATCAATCAAAATTGAGTTCCTTTAGCCCTCAACACCTGTGAAGCCTAATGCAGAAAACCAGCCACAGCTAAGGAACTGTACAGAGCCTTCACCCCCTAAAAGCACTCAGAAAAGAAACCAATCAATTTTACACAACACACACCCCCCCCATCAAATGCCCAAGAGAAAAAAAAAAAATTGAAGTAAAAACCCCACTCAAATTGTCATTTACAAAAGAAAAGGCAGCATGAGCCCCTCAAATGAGAAGAAATGGGTGCAAGAATTCCAGAGTAGTTCTTACCTCTAAGGAAGCACGTTAGGTTCCCAGCAATGGATACTAACCAGATGAACATGTCTAAAAACACAGACACAGAATGCAGAATCTGGAGTAGAAGTTCAAAGACATTTAAGAGAAAGTCAGACTCCGATTCCGGAAGCTGGGGCGCGGCGGACTGCGCGGGCGGTGGGACTCCGCTTAGTTTCCGGGGCGGCGCACACCCGAGTCCGGGAACCGAGGCGTTTTCAGGTTCTAGGGCCGTTACGAAGCTGCAGGAGCGAGACGGAGGTGGACGCACCGGGTGGGGATGGTCGAGACGGTCCCCGGGAGCGGCGAGGCCAGAGCGAGGCCGGGAGGCGGAGCCTCGCTGTGCGGCCTCAGGCCGGGGCAGACGGGCTGCCTCAACACTCGTGCTGCTCGGACCGCCGGCTCTTCGTGCTTTTCGACGCGGTGGTATTTCTCTTCGTGTATTTTTTGCCATGACTCATTTGGTGAGACCTATATTAAGAAGTTCCTTCTCGAGTGAATTCTGAAAATGGCCACAAACGTCTTGAATAAAGAAGACAGGACTCTCAACAGAAGAATTCCAAATCTCCAAGGGACCCTTCCTTTCATTTTATACTTTGTTACTAATTTGCAGAACTCTATTAAATTGGTAGGATTTCATTCATTCCTCACTAAGTTGTTAAAATTAAACCCTTTGGTTCATGTTTAAAAACGTTTGAAATATCCGATGGCTTTACAGGGGCTGAATAGAAAAACATTTGTACTTAAAGGTTTTGTGGATTCATTAAGAAATATAGTAATGTCTTTCTTTTAATGTTTTAAGAGTTGTTCAGGATTTAATATGATGCAAGGAATACGGCGACTCATAAGCGAAGGTTTATATGAATTCAAAAGTAAGTTATTCAAAAGCAGGGAAAGATTTTGAGAGAGGGAACAAAGTATTCATAAATTGCACAGAGGCTGTATAAAAATAAGATATACGGAAAATGTAGGCCCCTGGTGTATTTACTGGTTCTAAGTTCCAGTTTAAATTTTTAGGTTTCGTTGGACTCTATTTTGAAAAGATAGGTTATGGGCAACAGATTTATACAGTCTTAGCAAAAATAGGTAGTATGAAAGTATTGGAAAGCTAGCATGCACGCCCTCTTACCTGGGTATCTCCCCCTTTTTTCCTTTTAAACTCTTGAGCCTCCTATGTGTTTCAAACCTATTTTTTATTACTATTAATAAATCACTTTGATTTATTTGCATTAAGTATGCTTGTGGCCAAAACATTTATTTTTATAATGTCTGTGACTTGCTTAAATACTTCAGCAAAGTCAGCATATTTACTCATTCAACAAATATTTGAGTCAGGCATTATCTTAGACACAGCAGTGAACAAAACAAAAAGGGATTCTTGACTCCGTGGAACTTACGTTATATTTAAATCTAAATGCTATAAAACAAGAATTTACATTCAAGGGTTGATCAGCTAGTATTTAATCAAAAAGGCCGCAATCCCATAGCAGCTATTCTAAGCTGTAGTAACTAACAGAAAATGTTGGCTGGGTGCAGTGGCTCACACCTATAATCCCAACACTTTGGGAGGCCAAGGGCAGTTGACCACTTGAGGTCAAGAGTTTGAGACCAGCCTGGCCAACCTGGTGAAACCCTGTCTCTACTAAAAAATACAAAAAATTAGCCAGGCCTGTTGGCACACACCTGTAGTCCTAACTACTCGGGAGGGTGAGGCATGATAATTTCTTGAAGGTGGAAAGTGGATGTTGCAGTGAGCCAAGATGGGGTCCTGCACTCAAATCTGGGCAAAAGAGTGAGACTCTGTCTAAAAAAAAAAAAAAAAAAAAAAAAAAAAAAAAAAAAAAAAAAAAATCTTTCTCTTAGCCCTAAAGGTTTTACATGAGGAATAGTAGAAGTGGGCTCTTGAAATTACTTGCATTCAGTATATGCAAACTGTCTTAAATATTTTGGGGATATTTCCCTCCCTTTTAAACTGTGTAAGATATGGTAAATTCTCTGTGTATCTTCCTACCTTTCAGAAAAGTCTGGAATTGATTTTGGAGATTTTTAATTGCCTGATGCTGACTATAAAGTTAGCAATTACACCTTCAGGGTTTTTTTGCATCAACCTAAAGAGAACCATTTATGGAAGATATGGTTGAAACAGCTATAGGAACACAGAACTGGGATTTTTCACTGAGTACCAAATCGATTGTATGAACTGTTTCTGCACTGCTTGTTAATGGTTTTGTCTAATAAATGTTTACATATTAAAAAAAAAAGAGAGAAAGTTAAAATCCAATCCAAGGAAGACAGTAAAATGATTCAAGAGGTGAAACATGGCAAATCTATTTTAAGAAGGAACCACACTGAATGTCTGGGTTTTAAAAATTTACTATAAGAATTTTAAAATACAAATGGGAGCCTTAACAACAGAAGAGACAAAGCTGAAGAAGTAACTCAAGGCTAGTCCTTTGAATCAACCCAGTCAGATAAAAATAAAGAAAAAAACAATTTTTTTAAAAGGAGCAAAGTCTCTGAGAAATATGAGATTTTGTAAACAGACCAAACATACATAATTTGAATTCCTAAGAGATAAGAAGGAAGAGTAAGCAACTTGGAAAACATATTGGAAGATATAATCCATAAAAATTTCCTCAATCTTGCTAGAAAGGTCATCATGCACATGGAAGAAATTTAGAGAATCCCTGCAATATGCTATACAAGACAACTATTCCCAAGACACACGGCCATTAAACACTGTAAAGTCTATGTGAAAGAAAAATATCTTAAAGGCAGCTAAAGATCATTTACAAAGGGAAGCTCATCAGGCTAACAGCACACATCTCAGCATAAACCTTACAAGCCAGAGGAATTTAGGGGCTGTTTTCAACCTTCTTAAAGAAAAGAAATTCCAATCAAGAATTCATATTTCACCAAACTAAGCTTTATAAGCAACATAAAAATAGCATCCTTCCCAGACAAGCAATTGTTAAGGACATTTATTTTTATTAGACCAGCCTTACAAGAGATACTTATGGGAGTATTAACATGTAAATGTTTTTTAAAAAGACATCTATTTTGACAAAAATAGACTTACATACACAGCCCACAACCCTTTAAACTACACAATTGAGGTTACAAACCAACAGCTAACAACAGCACAAGAGGATCAAAACCTCACATATCAATGTTAACTTGGAATGTAAATGGTCCAAATGCACTACTTAAAGAATAATAAGCTGAATAAAAATTAATAATAAGACCCAGCTCAAGGTAAAGAGATAGAGAAAGCTCCATTACATGAATGAAAAACATAAAAGAACAGGAATTACTATTCTTACCTGAGATCAAAGAGGCTTTAAATCAATGACAGTAAAAAAGAACAAAGAAAGGCATTACATAATGATGAAGGATTCAATTCAACAAGAAAATTTAACTATCCTTAATATACATGCATCCAGCATTGAAACACTCAGATTCATAAAACAGGTGCTTCTAGACCAACAAAAACACTCAGACAGTCATGCAATAATAGCGGGGGACCTCAACATCTCACTGGTAGCAATAGATACATCTAGGCCAAAAATGGACAAAGAAATTCTAGACTAAAACTTGAAATGTGACCAATAAGACCTAATATACCTCTACAGAATACTTCACTCAGCAATCACAGAGTATATATTCTTCTCATCAGCTCATGGGTCATACTCTTAAGATTGACCACATTTGGTCATAAAGTGAGTTTCAATAAATTTAAAAAATCAAAATCATACCAAAAATATTTTCAGACATTAGTGGTATAAAAATAGAAATCAAGACCAAGAAGGTCTTTCAAAACCACACAATTACATAGAAACTAGACATCTTGCTCTTGAATTGTTTTGAGATAAACCACAAAATTAAGAGAAAAAACTTGAGAAACTCTTAAGTAATTAACAAAGACAGACCATATTAAAATCTCTGAGATGTAGCTAAAACCATGTTAGGAAGAAAGTTTATTGTGCTAAAAACACCTACGTCAAGAATTTAGAAAGATCTCAAGTTAACAGTCTAATATAACACCTAGGGAAAATAGAAAAATAAGAACAATCTAATCTTAACGCTAGAGGACGGCAAGAAATAAATACATCAGAGTAGACTGAGGGAAACTCAGACCCCAAAATACATACAAAGCATCAAAGAAACCAAAAGCTGGTACTCTGAAAGTATAAACAAGGTCATGAGACCACCGCGTAGATTAGCCAAGAAAAAAGAGAGAAAACTCAAAGCAGCAGACTCAGAAGTGACAAAGATGACTGACAACCAATCCCAGACAAATGCAAAAGATCCTCAGAGACTGTGATGAACACCAGTAGGCACACAAACTAGAAAATCTAGAGGAAACGGATGAATTCCTAGAAACAGAAAACCTCCCAAGATGAGTCAGGAGAAATTGAGATCCTGAACAGACCAAAAACTAATTCTGAAAATGGATCAGTGATAAAAATTATACCTACCAAAAAAGTCCTGCACCAGAAGAATTCAGAGATAAATTGTACCAGACACACAAAGAAGAGCTATTAGTAAGCCTACTAAAACTATTCTAAAAAAAAAAAAAAAAAATGAGGAGGGACTTCTCTCAAACTCATTCTATAAAGCCGGCATCATCCTCATAACAAAAGCGAGCAAAGATGCAACAAAAATGAAAACTGCAGGGCAATATGTCTGAAAAATGGAGATGCAAAAATCCTCAACAAATTACTAGCAAATGAATTTAGCAGCCAATTAAAAATTTCATTTACCATGTAAACTTCATTCTTGGAATGCCAGGTTGGTTTAACATACACAGATTAATAAATGTAACTTGTCACAAAACAGACTTAAAAATAGAAATCATATGATCATCTCTCTCTCTCTCTATATATATATATATGTGTGTGTGTGTGTGTGTGTGTGTGTGTGTGTGTGTGTGTGTGTGTGTATGTATATGTATATATATATAACTTTGATAAAATCCATTATCCCTTCATGATAACAACTCTCAACAAACTAGGCATCAAAGGAACATACCTCAAAGCAAAATAATAAGAGTCACCTATAACAAACCCACAGCCAGAATGACAGTGAAGGAGCAGAAGCTGAAACTATTCTCCTTGAGAACTGGACAACAGTAATATTCTAGCTGACTGCCATATCAAAAAGGCAATCCCATTTGTAATACCTATACAAAAATAAAATATTGAGAAATACATCTATCCAAGGAAGTGAAAGATTTCTTCAAGGAGAATTATAAAACGCTGCTGAAAGAAATCATAAATGACACAGACAAATGGAAAACATTCCATGCTCATGGATAGGAAGAATTAATATCATTCAAATGGCCATACTGCCCAAAGCAATCTACGGATTCAGTGCTATTTCTATCAAACTACTAATTTCCACGGGATTAGGAAAAAAAATTATTCTAAAATTCATATGGGTCCAAACAAAACCCCAAATATTTAAAGCAATCCTAAGCAAAAAGAACAAAGTCAAAGGTATCACGTTTTATGGCTTCAAACTATAATACAAGTTATAGTAAACAAAACATTATAGTATTGGTCCAAAAACAGACACAGAAAATATTTGAGAAAAGTAGATTCTGTTGTGGAAGAATGAGAGGACCACAGCTGTAGCAACA